TTCCAACTTAATTCTATGGGTCTATGATTGCAGTGGATATTCCCCCTTGCACCCCTGTTAGGTCCCAAAAGCCAAACAGTACTCACCACAGAGCACTGAAATACTGCAGTGAAATGATCAATAATTTCTTGTCCTTGGGCATATGCTACCATCTCCCAATCTGCTCTGCCTGGGGTGCCCTGCAGAGCATGGGACATGTGCTGTGATGTGTCATTTTGGGTGGCACCATCTCTCATAAGTGTCACCCAGCACTTCCCAAGACAATCCTGCTCAGTATGTGCCAACATACACAATGGGTACTACTGCTAGTCCATGAGCACCCACACCACACCAGACCCCTTCCTGCATCCCCAGCACCCTCTTCCCAAGGGTGGAGGGATGAAGACCCTCTTCCTCTTTTCCAGCATGCAGGAGACCTTCCTGTCTTCTACTGCAAGACCCCAAAGCTCAGACGAGCATGAGAGGGATCACTCTCGTCCCTCTCCTGGCCCTCACCATGGGAAGGGGATAAAGTGCTCTGCTTTTAGGCTTTTTCTTCCTAAAATGGGAGTCTTCCAGCTCTGATCCAAGCACTGGCATCTTCCCAGTGCTCCTGTTTTGGGACTAATGATGCCCAAAAGGGGAAAAGCAAGCCAAGCCCTCACTTGTTTTCCTGTGTCATCCTTTGCTGGGTATCCCTGCACAGGGTAGTCCCTGTCCTCCCTGGCCACTTTCCCCTGTCCTGGCTTCCTCATCCTTGTTCTTACAAGCCCTGCCCTCTGTGGTGCTCAGCTTGGTGTTCAACCCTCTCCTTTCCCTTCCTCCCTTATTACTTTCTGACTCTGGTTCCTCTCCAATGTCTTCCCCACCTTCCTCTGTCCCGGAGTAGCTGTGGAGATCAGACCTGTCTTCTCCCAAATCCTGCGCCAGAGCCACTCCTGCCCTTACACCTGGAAGACTGAAGGTACAGAATAGGCAGAGTGGCCTGTGCTGATGGTCCTAACAGGGGCAATTCCACTTTCCTCAGCCTTTCCCCAAGTGGAGCCCACACCTGCCAGCAGTACTTATTAATGCTGATTAGCCTGACTAATGAGACTGCTATGCACACATCTGAGGGACAGCAAAACCCAGGGGGACAAGGAAGGAAGAAATTGCCTTTGCAGTTTCCTCTTGGCAGTTACCAGATGGCTGTGGAGGGAGGGCAGGGCTTGCTCAGAGCCCTGGAGGAAGCTGGTCTGGCAGATAACCCCACGTGTGGAGTTAGGAGCTCCTTTACTGGTGCAGAATTGAAGATTTTCAGCCTTGCTGGACCCTAATATGTTGGCAGTGTGACTGAGGCCTGGCTATTCTGCACCTCTGCCTTGCTACAGGTTTCTGGGCTGTAACAGGAAAAGCTTTGCAAAGACAACATGGGCTGTGCTGGATGCAACACAGGTGAGACACAGAGCAGGGAGAGAAAGAAGCTCTGGAATGCCAACAGACTGCAGACATCCATGTGTTGTGACTCAGGCTCATGGTCAGCAAAGACCTTGTGTCCCAGGAGTGGCCATGATCCATCCCAAGAAATACCTGTGAGATTTTTCACCATCTTTCTTTGCCTCCCTCTGGGCAGCTGGTAGAAGAGGATATTTCTAATTCACTTTATAGGATTTTAGATGCACAACAGAAGCACAGTACATCAAAGAGGAATGAATGCTGTAATTCCCTGAGAGGTCGTGGCTTTTTACAGAGCTCTTTATTGCTGTTAAGCTCTTTAGGGAACACTGTATTCTGTCTACCACAGGCTTGGTGGTGGCAGTATGACATGCAATGCCCATCCATCCTGATTACTATTTCAGCCTCTGGGGAATGATACAGATCCTCAAAGGTTGTTAAGTGCTGGATTTAATTTGAAATCATTGGGAATTCAGTGTCTAAATCTTTAAATACTCTGCATAAGAGACTACCCTGCAACAGCTGGCTTGTGTATGCTTTGCCTTAGCAGTCTCTGCATGTATTTAATGATGCACAGAATCTCTCACCTTGCCCTTGGAGACTTCCCCGTGGTGTCATCCGTGGCTGTTCTCATTGGAGAAAGGGCAGGTTGGGGCGGGAACAGGACTATTGCAATCCGTGTTGGAGATCACTAAGAGGCAACCCAAGGAGATACCCTGAGTGGAGGGACGGTGCAGGTCTAGGGGTAAGAGACTTTGCTCCAGTCTCCAGAAACACATAGAACTGAGGGATGCTTCAGCAGCAAAGAGAACTGGCAGGTGGAAGGTGCCCATTCAAAACTCTGCCTTTTGGGGGAGTATTTCTGATGGCAGAGGAGTTTTCAGTTCTGAGTTTCAACTTTGTGCCCTGAGCACAAATGGGTGACTTTAAACAGGACAGAGTTTAGCAAGTGCTGCACCCTGAGGAAAAGCAAGATGTGTAAGCAGTAAAGATTGAACAGAAAGCACAAGAAGTCACAAAAAGTAGGTTAGTTTGTGAAGGATTTGGCCTCTTTCCAATTTTTGGAGACTGTGTCTGATAAGGGCCCCTGATTTGGAGCTGGTACAAAATGAAAAAGGACCACTGAAAGCTCTGGATAAGGCAATAGGCACTACAAAATAAGGAGAATTATCCAGTCTTGGGTGATTATTATGGGGACTGAATAATACACTGGCAGTAAAGGAAGTTCAGACTACCGTAGGTGAAGTTTACCGCAGAAAGACAGAGCTTAGACTGAGATGCTGTTTAGGAACTTAAAAAGTCTGAGCAAATCATCTTAGAGATTTTTATACTGACCTCAAATGAACAACTGCACTGAACAAGATGTTAAGACATTGCTGTATATGGCAAAAATACTGTTGATAGCAAGAGAATGGGAGGTGTGAATCTGTGGGTTGTTGGAACAACAACCTCCTATTTCTCTGAGTAGCCTTGGCAAAAGGCAGTGCTGTTAACAGCTCTGTTTATGTGACACACTTTTTCATTACAAACAGCTTAGGAGGCATGGAAAGGTCTAAGACTATGCGGTGGGTTGGTGGGCATGAGATTTTGGGGGTTTGCAGGGAAGTGCAGACCTCTGAGGCATAACGTTATTTTCTCCAAATGAGGCGTTGGCAGAAAATCGTGTCAGAAATGTGAAGCGATCAGTCTGGCTGAGAAGGCAGAGCCTGGTCTGTGTGTGCTGATGAATCATTTAACAGAGGTGTTGGCTGTGAGGTGCTTATGTCGGAGGATTAAGGAAATAGATGAGGTATAAGGAAACAACAGTACAATTAGGTCCTGGGAAAGCTCACCATGTTCATGACCATGTCTAGAATGGGAAACAATGACCAGAACAACAGTCTCACCTCCCATGGGATTGTGCCACAGTGTTGATGTCCCTCATCACCACATCTCGGAAAGAAGACCCTCTGCAAAAGAGTAGAGATCCCAGCAGAAGGGCACTGAGTCAGCTGAAGTGCTGGGGAAGGAGGTCACAGTCCTGGCAATGGCAACTACTGTGTCCCAGGGCAATCAAGAGCCTGAGTTAATGGACCAGCTACAGCTGAAGGTGTCACTCAGCTGGGAGGTCTCTGATTCTGTGAGCTGAATCACTCCCCACGGACCCCACTGTCTGGAACAGGAACTGGAATATCCACTGATATTGATTGGTTGGGGAAACAGTTTGGGCGAAACATATATATGTGTTGCAAGTGGCAAACTCTTGCAAACCCCACTGCAAGAGGCAGTTTGAGGCATTGGTTGTGTTGTGTTCCTGTGAAATGGAGATGAGTGTCCCATGCTCAGATTCCAGGGAAGCAGAGTATTCTAGGGTGCCCTAGCTTGGACCAACGCCCGCTGTTCTGAATGGTACCAGAGAGTAACAGGAAAAGCCAGGTTTGATGAACTCTTAGTAGTCTTCCAGTTGGAGTGTCCATAGACATGGGAGTGGGGAGACTTGGAGCAACAACAGCTGTTATTCATGTCCATGCTGCAGGTTTTGCTGTTTTCCCAGGATAACTTTTTTGTATTTGTGTTGTTTCATTGGTACAATGTCATCTAAAACATTTACCCACCACTGTGCACAGAGTTTTGGGTCATCCTTACCTTCACACACCTTTTAAACGTGGCTCTTAGATCATCCTAGTGACTTTGTACAGGAGTGAATTTCAGCCTATATACTTGAGATGGATCTTCTTCTATGCTTGGAAGTACCAGCATTTAAGTGACTGATTGGACAGACCGATAGTGGGAATTAGGACAGCAAGCCTTGATTTTACAACATACCTGGAAGAAAAACCAAACCAGACTAGTACAGCATCATAGTCTGGTTCTGGGTTTCATCTTGGCTGTTCTTCGGGGAGAGAGAGCGAGCAGAACAGCAGAGTTTGCTGGGAAGCATGTTAATTTTCACAGATTTTTGTATGCTTGTCAGTAGTTTAGGAGATTTAGTGATCCAAATACAGGTGGAACATATCCTTAACCTCTACCCAAGCCCAAGTAGCGTGTATGAAAACATATACACTCACACGTATGTTTTTCTTATAGCTGAAACAGTGAGAGGAGACTTTACACCTTGACTTCATCTCCTCATCCCTGAGAAGGTTCAGACTTTTTCAGGAACAAATGAGTAGTTACTAGTGACATGTGGGTTAAAATACTTTCTTTCCAATTCCATTGGCATCTAAAATCTTTGCAGCAGATAGCTCTGGAAACATCTCTCTAACCCTTTATTCTTAAGCACATGCCCAAGGCACAAAAATCTTCCATTACAAACCAGAGATATCCTGTTTTCTAAGTAATCCTAGAAGTCCTGCATTACGATGTCAAACACGAAAAGAAAACCACAGTAAAGAATTTGTTGCTAGCAAAATGTCTGTATTAAAATACAAAGAAACCTTCCCTGTTGGGAACAGTCATTAATAGACTCTCTTTTATATTGGTACTAACAGCACTGTAAGTTCCATTCTCCAAACAGACCACAATGTTCTTGAGGAACAAATTCCACCACTGTTAGTCTGAACCTCAGCCTAAAAAACAAAGAGTTCAAAGACAATAGTATCGTGCATCCTAGTAATATTCCAGCACCATGGCACTGGCTTACTGCAGCATGTCCCACCAGATGTTGTTTATATCTGGACAGCACTTGGTGATGGCAAGCTCACAGGGCTCCCTATTGTGTTTGAGAAGGCGATGATTGCATTGGAGCCCTTGGAGCTCTTGTTCATGCCCAGGATGTCCACGTTGGTTTGCTCTGGCTCAGCTTTCCTGAATATATTTTTCATGGTTGACTGGAAGTTGTTGGTGACAAAGCAGTAGACAATGGGGTCCATGCAGCTGTTGAGGCTACTCAGGGTCACTGTCACATGGTAGACGAGGATGCTGACGTTATGGGGCATGTCTGGGTTGATGGAGATTGCGACCTGCCGCACGTGGAAAGGAGTGAAGCAGATCATGAAGATGATGAGGACGGTGATCAGGAGCTGCACAGCCCTCATCCTCCTCTCCCGGCTCTGGTGCATGAGGCTGGGCTTGGACAGGGCACACATAATCCTTGTGGTGAAGAAGATGATTATGATGAGGGGGAAGAAGTACTCGCAGACCATCAGGACCAGAATCTTGGAGAGGCAGCACTCAGCAAACTTTATTGCCATGGTCAGGATGGAGAAAGTCACCACTGTGGCAAAGATCCAGATGAAGACGCAGATTCCCTTGGCACAGGTGGGGTTCCTCCATTTCCGTGAGGCCTCCACCTGTACGATGGCCAGGTATCGGTCAACGCAGATGCACGTCAGGAAGAGGATGCTGCAGTACATGTTGACAAAGTAGCCGAAGATGTGAATCAAGGAGCAATGCTGGCAGCCCCCTGCACTGTAGAACATGATGATCCGGACAGGCAAGGAAAAGCCTACCAAGAGATCAGTAACAATCAAGTTTATGGTGTAAATAACAGAGGTGGTTTTTGTCTTGGTACGGAAGCAGAAGACGTACAGTGCCAAGCTGTTCAGCACAACACCCACGAGGAAAATGATGGCATTGACTACCATCAGGACAATCCACAGGTTGTAAAATTCTGTGGACAGTTCTTTGTCTTCGTGGATGAACTTGGAGAACAAGTAGATGCTGATGTTAGGTTGCTGGGTGGAGTTGATGGAGTCAAGGGCTAGCAGTTGCGTGGAGGAGGTCGGCATGGTCGCTGACTGACAGCGATCTGGAAGAAAAGAAAGAGTCAGAATTCCTTAGGGCTCAAAATCTTGTCACCTAAGAACATTTCAACCAACATGTTTGGACATCCCAAGGAGTAGATCCCCATTTGCCAATATGGGATTACCAATAATTGCAAGGAAAACATCTGAATTTATAATTACTGTCTTCCAGTGGTGTCAGATACATATTTTGAAAAAGACACACGATCCTCACTTCAAGTTTCTCTTCCTCTTCCCTGTGCAAAAGTGGTTTTAAGGCCAGAAGACCTTTGCACAACCATAGCCCCAGCATCTGTCTCCTAAAATATCATATCCTTCCCCTGGGCAGGTGATCCCATTAGAGAGTCACATGCAGCAGCATTTTCAGAGACTGTAAGACTTCCCAAAATCAAAGGCTGACTGAATCTTCCAGGAAAGCAGAAGCAGATTGTGTGGCATCTTATAGAGATCTGCACTCACAGCAACAGCAGACGGGAGATTTCAAGCTAAGGGCGTCAGCCACTACTCCTGCCAGGGTTTGACAGTTTAATTTGCAAATCATTCCTGACTTATACACTATTTTAAACTGATTTGTATATTAAAAAGATTTTTTTAAAAAGAGAGTCACAATATATACAGAGACTTGGCTGGCTTAAATAAAAATAAATGGTTGCAAAATGTCTGGAATACTTCAAAGTGGCTGGGCAGGGGCTTGAGGTTAAAAAAATCAGCTTGAATCAGCAGAGAATGATGCTGAAAGACTTGATTTATGAGGGTTTGAAATCCCTGCTACCAGTGAGCCAAGTGTGGAAGTACTAGGAAACAAGGAGCTGCAAACACAAATCCCAGCGCTCATAGAACTTCAGGGTGCCTGGTTGTATGTCTCAGAGTGGAAGACTTGAATTGCTGGGGAAGTCTGGATGTCCAGCTCCCCAAGCACACCCCATCCTCTGGCAGCTGGCTTTTTTCTTGCACTGATCATTTTTGCTGCTTATGGGGATCAGGAGGATGGACCAAAAGTGTTCCTTCACCTGTGAGGTGCTTCAAGCCATTGGTGGCCATGGACAAAGCAGGGGAGAAAGCTACCTAGGACAAAAGTGGATCCTCCTGAGAGTTCCTGCTGGCCAAAAGCAAATGTTTCGCAGGGAACAGTTCTAATTATGTCCAGAAAAACATCACAGCAGCTCTGAGCCTGCCCGATGAGTGCCAAAGCCTTTTCCTGCCTGGCCACCAGAAGCTTATTTGTCGGGCTAATGAACTACAGATCCCTGCTAACTGTAACTCTCCAACTCTCAAACTCCTCCACACCCCCTGACAAAAGCAGAAGGCTTCCAGCACTCTGGGATAGAGAGTTGGGGAACTGAGATTTAGGAGAAGAGATTCCCAAGTCTCTCTGCATTTCCTGGATACAGCAAATGTGTCTCATCAGTGATTGGTCAATAGTAAATATTCAAGGTCAAGAGTCCTCATGGGGTGCTACAGCCCGGTGGTGGATATTCTGTATGGTTCATTCAAGCCAGGTGAATGTGAAGCAGAACATTTGTTGAGCAAAAGCAGAGATTAGGACTGAGAATTTAGAAGACCAGGTGTGAAATTTCCTGTGGAAATTCTTGGAGAAGTGATTTTGCCATCATGACGAAGCTTGGGTTTGTTGGCCTGGAGTCTGGGAATTGCTCTAGTTTCCTCTTGCCTCTCACCTAGTCTGTAGAAGTGAAAGAAGAAGCTGGTTTTCAATATCCTTGAACTTGAAAGGCTATTTCTAATCAAATGGCAATTCATTCTGTTTAGGTAGCCACTCGATCAAGTCCAAGGAGTTGAATTGTCCATTGGAATGTGTGGTGCTCAAACATAAAGTCCTTCTGAGCTGAAAGCCAGTGGCAGAGTACACTGCAGGACTGAAATCCTGACGCCTGGGTTCAGGCCACCTGTAATGTCCCAAAGAACTAATGGGCAAATAGGAACAATGGTAACTTCTGTCCACTTTTGCCATCAGGCCACCCCCAGCAGCAACCAGATGTTGGAACATCTTGTGTTTCAGGAGTGACCAGATTACCTCACCCTGCGCTGAGCTGCGGTGGCAGCCAAAGTAGCACATGTTCACAGCATTTTGTCTGGGTCTGACTGAGCCTACAGACTCCTGGGGGACAGTCTTGTCTCTTTACATTTTGTGCCAACAGCTCTGTCAGTGAAAAACAGGAAAAGCTGACCCCAAGACTGGCTGAAGGTAGTGGATCTACAAAGTCTGGCACCAGAGAAAGATGTATGGGAAAGATGCAAAACCCTGGCCCGTTTTCTAATAATTTCCTAAAATTCTCGCCATCTGAACTCCTCCAGTTGTTTGTTTCACTCTTTAATTGCAAAAACAAACTGAAATGAGCAGATGCCTGGATCTGCTCCCAGCTTTCTCTTTGCAGATGCTATCAAGAAGAGCGCTGCGGAAGCCAAGGAATAAGGACTTTGTTGTCCATTGAGTGCAGTGTGATCTTGTGTATCTGTGTTCAGACAGATAGATGAGCAAGGGGAGAAGACAAAATCACCCACCCCATCCCTTAGCATGCATTAAACTGTTTTGAATTGCATATGCATTTGTCTTCTCATTGTAATTCTGTGGCACTGGCTCTTTGCTCTGATTTTGCATCTCGTTAGTAGCTTGCCTCGTCTGGGAGATTTTTCTTCAGTTTCAGATCCTTTATCACAAACACCTGATATTCATCTTATTTTGCCTGTCCTGCCTCAGTGAAATCAGCAACTCCAAGTGCATTCAGATGTTCGTCATCCTCACAATGCCACGGAGGGATGTAGGTTACAGACTAATAGAAAGGGATCCACTATGAGTACTGTCCATGCACATGAGTTAAAATCATCAGCATATGCAATGCCCTGGCTTGTATGGTCACCTCTTCCACTGAGCCCCATGTGCAGTGAAATAACTCCAGATTTTTTACCTGCTAAAAACAACAGGTAACATTTCTTTGCCAAATTGAATATGCAGAGGAGGAGCTGCATTAGAGCTTGTGTCTTTTCCCAGTCCGTCTTTTCCCTGCCTTATCTGAACTCAAAATCTAAACAACTACATGAAAGAAGCCCCAGCCAATTTAATTAATCCTGAAGATTTCCTCCCTGACAAGCTGTGGAAAAGCTGCCTCTTGGGCTGTGGTGGGAAAAATCTTCCTCTAATTGAATAGCTACTGATGGATGTTTGGGTGAATGGCCTCTTCCTTTCTTTGTGGGACTGCCCTCATCTCATGGCTCACAAGCAGAAAGGATGGAGAACTGGACTAGCAAAGCAACAGAATTCCTCAGAGTGCTTTTAATGAGATGGAGCTGGACCAAATCCTTACAGCTACTAAGGATTTTTCCATTGTGGGACTCCAAGCCCTTGAGAAAGGTACATTGCCCCATTTTGTAGCAGGTTGAACCAGGCACAGAAAGGCAGCCTGACCTTGTGTTTGAGCAAAAGCAAACATCTCCAAAGATTTTCAGTGCTTCCCCTCTCTAAGTCTCAAAATTACCCCAATCAGATCTCTGCCATCAGAAATACTCATGCAGGTGTTAAAGTGAGTCAGTTCTGCTACCCATCACCATGGAGTGGTGGCGTGTGGAAGTTAGTGAGGGGCATGGCTAAACATATACAAAGCTTTGCAGCCTCTGCAAACCTTTATTTTGCTGTGTTTCACACTATTTATTACTTGTAGCTATGGCATGAGCTCATGCAGAGCTGCCACAACCACCTTAACTTAAAGAGTAAATAGTTTTTGGGCTAACCCCCTTCCTATAATCCTCAAAGAGCTTGGAGCTCAACCTTCTTCATGCCTAATTCAGCTCTCAGCACCCCAGATCTTCATGCAATACCTGTTTTTTTTGAGCTGACAGTCTGCAAAACCCAAGATGGGTAAACATGCATCCTTCTGAGCGCTGTCTGACTGTGCCAGTTGGCCTATGCTGTTATGTTATACCTCTCAGGCTGGATTTTGTCTCTCTGTCTGGGAGACTGTGGGTAGCATTTCCTTAAAAGTACACCAGACATCTGGGTAGACATGGGATAAGGGGAGGGACAGAGACTGGAGGTTGACCTGGTTTTCCTTGTTCTCATAAAGGTCCCTGCTCAGCACTGGGAGAGGGGACCCTGCTCTGAATTACTTTCTCATTGTTGCATGACACAACCAATTCCATCACTCTTGGGCCAAATAGGAAGCAGATGGTCACCGCAACTTCTTCCCTTGCTCACTCACCGCTTGGCATCACACTTTTTCATTTAGCATGGGCAGCTCAGTGCTACATTTGCCCCAGGAGCAGATCCCTGATCACCCCATATTCCATTTCTCCCAACTCTTTGCTTGGTGTCAGCCTTAAGCCTCGTCCTCCACTTGCTGAAGTTAACAGGGTTCACTTCCTTGGCCCAGGGGACTTTTGGATCTGGCTCAGTGATTTAGGCAATGGGATACAGAAGAAAAGGCAGGTCAGACAACTGAGCTTTGTCCAAGAGGGTTATTTATTGTTGTGTGAAGATTTGATCTCTGTGTGCAGACGCAGAGAACACCAGAGCCGCTCACTGGGATCGGAAAGTTGAAAAGGACATTAACAAGCCTGAGTGTTATTTAGTATAAACAGCTTCAGCTTTTCTCATCTCCCTGTCCTGAACCAAAAAATTCTATATGTCAACCTGGCTCCTCTATCATCCCTCCTATCCCCCTCACCCTGTCCTGCTTGGTGGTGTTACTCTCTGCCTGAGGTGGCAGCAGCATGTGTTTAGCTTTGCTGCCTCCCCTTGTTTAAAGTTCCCTGGGTGATTTATCATCATATTTATAAAGGAAGGGTTAAACTCACTCTCTTTCAGTTTAAATTGTATGATTCTCCTTCTGGCAAGCTCTCAGTCAACTATGGCTCAAAGTGGCCAAATATGGTGTTTTTGTGCATGTCGACCTTGCCCTATATGTGGTAGAGCTTGTTCTGTGTGCCTTGTGCTCAGCCCGGGGAGGGTGAGTTTGCTGACAGTGGGAACAGAG